GTGTTTCCATAAAATGTCATCCTCGGCGAGCGCATCAAGATGCACCTCATCCAATAGCATCCAAAGGGTGAAAAATTGTGTGATGAACTCAACGGAAATAATGGTTGGAGGCTTGATCTTGAGCATCCACGCGTTGTGCTTGATGGCCTCGCGCACTTTCCACTTCTTTCGCGAGGAGACTTCGAATATTAGTGGCGCAATGTTCTTCGGCTTGCGCCCAAGAAGCCAAGGTGATTCCCAAAAAGGTGTCTTCGCACCATTGCCCACGGTGATAGTGGTAGACGCATAGAAAAAGTTAAGGTCCTCCTCATTGCACGGGTTGCCCATCCCCACCCACAACTTGGTGGGCTCCTTCCATTCATACCAAGGCCACCGCAGCCGCAGAGCACGCGCGAACTTTTCCATGTTGAGTACCCCAAGCCCCCCATACTCAACTGGCCTACAGACAATTTCCCAATTCACCTTGCATTTCGCCCCCGTCGTCTTGTCCGAGCCGGACCATAGGAAAGCTCTCTCGAGCTGGTTGACTTTGAAGAGGATACTTGGTGGGATGATCAACGGTGTGATGAAGTAGATCACTTGGGAAGTGAGAACAGACTTGACAAGGGCCGTGCGCCCAATGGTGGTGATGTTTTGGCCCTCATACGTTGTCAACTTGGATGCAACCTTGTCCACAAGAAATTGAAGATCCACTAATCTTAGCTTCCAAACAGAGAGGGGGAGCCCCAAGTACCTCAAGGGGAAAGAAGCCCTAGTTGCCGGCAGATTTTGAGTGATATGATCCAAGTCAAGATTATTGCAACGAATGGGCACCATCGAACTCTTATGAAAGTTGGTGCAAAGTCCCGTGACCTCGCCAAATCCTCTCAAAATATTAGCAAGATTGTTAACATCCTTTTTGATCGGATCCAGGAAGATGGTTGCATCATCCGCATAAAGGGAGGTTCGCATCATAGCACCCCTACCCCGAATTTTGTGGAGGAGCCCCTTTCGCGTAGCCACATCAAGGATTCTTTGGAGCGGGTCAATGGCGATGACGAACAGAAGCGGGGAGATGGGGTCCCCTTGCCGGAAACCACGACCATGCTTGATTGGGTTGCCGGCAATGCCATTGAGGATAATCCTCGATGATGAAGAACTAAGAAGCGCCGTGATCCAATCCCTAAACTTGCTTGGGAAACCTCGCCGTTGGAGAAGGTCCAGTATATATTCCCATTTGACCGAGTCGAATGCCTTGCGAATATCTAATTTGAAAAGGAGGGATGGGGTCTTGCTCTTGTGCAGGCGTCGTGCAAGATTGCGAACATACATGAACTTATCATGAATACTTCTCGTTTTGATGAAGGCGCTTTGGGCATTGGAGATGAGGGCCGTCATGTGCGGAGTGAGCCGAGTGGAGAGCACCTTTGCAATAATCTTGGCGATCGCATGGATAAGACTAATAGGCCTATAGTCCGCAATCCCCTCTGCCCCATCCTTTTTTGGCAAGAGCACCACATTCGCAGAGTTGAGCCAGTGGAGGTTCGAAGTCTGGAGGGAGTCGAAACGAGCAATGGCCCTCATGAGGTCGTGCTTGACAGTGCCCCAACACTTTTTGAAGAATAGGCCCGTGAATCCATCCGGACCCGGGGCCTTGTCATTAGGCATGTCGTTGATTGCTTGAAGAACCTCCATTTCGGTCATTGGAGAGTCAAGGCCATGCATGTCAAGGCGTTCCATATTGAGCTCCTCCCAATTGAAATCTTTCGAACTTTTCGCTCCTTTCTTCATAACATGGGAGAAGTGGTCTTGGATTAATTTCTCTTTGGCTTCATGCTCGGTGACCCAACCATGCTCGTTCTTGATTCGATGGATATGATTTTTTCTCCTCCTAGCATTAACCCGGCGGTGGAAGAATTTAGTATTGGCGTCACCTTCTTTGAGGTTGGAGATTCGCGCACATTGTTTCTTGCGCGATCTCTCGATCACGGCCAAAGCAATGACCCTTCTCTTAAGCCTAGCCCGTAGGTCACGCTCCTCGGGCGAGAGAGGCCTGTCCTCTTGGGCGATGTCGAGGCGAAGAATCACCAAAAGAGCGGATTGGAGATGGATTTTAGCCTTGGAGAAAAGGCCCCTACTCCATTCGGAGAGGCGGATCGCCGTCTTTTTGAGCTTGTGGAAGATGATTTGATAGGGATCGGTATGGTTAACCCGTTCGTTCCACGCCATTTGGACCACCTCGTTGAAGCCGGGCATGGATGCCCAAAAGTTTTCAAATTTAAAAGTTCGTGGCCTCCGCGGGCCCTTGTCATCGGCAAGCAAAAGCGGACAATGATCGGAGAGGGATGACGAAAGTGCATGGAGGATATGCGTGTTGAAGGTTGTATCCCACTCGGCATTGCAGAAAAAAGAGTCAAGCTTGCATAGCGTTGGCTTTTCCCTCTCGTTGCTCCAAGTGAACCTTCGATTTTGGAGATGGATTTCTTTGAGCTCGCAACTATGGAGCGTGGCCCGAAAACGGTTGATCCTGCCATGGTGAACATTTCTCTTGTTCTTGTCTCTCGCCCGATAAATTTGATTAAAGTCTCCGGAGGCAAGCCAAGCCACCCCCAAAGGCGGCTTCTGGCTGAAGAGCTCGGCAAAGAACACGTCTTTGCAAGAGGGGTCGGTGGGGCCGTAGACAGATGTGAACTTGAAGACCACGTCGGTCGCTCTTACACGGATCATGGTGGACAAGCAATACGCAGTGTTGGTGACGTTGGATGCTTCAACTAATATATCATCCCATAGAAGTAGGATGCCTCCCCTTGTACCAGTTGCTGGGCGCTGCGCAAAACTACGGAGCCTATGTCCACCCAAGAAGGCAGCCGTGAACTGATCAACATTGTTGAGTTTTGTCTCCTGAAGACACACTACATGGCAAGACGAAGAGGCAATTGTAGCATGGACCGCCGCGCGGCGGTCTGGGCAGTTGAGACCCCTGACATTCCAGCTCAAGAAGTTGATTTGTTGCTCTAACATAATATAACAAGAAGCACTCTGGAGCACAATCTTCTAACATAGGCAAACGAAGCAACAGTCACTTTACCCAGAATTGTACGATACTAGGCACACGTACAAAGCACACATAGACCTAACCAAACACACAAAGTGGCATTCTCACAGGAGACAGTGCACTTCCTAACAGAGTCTAGTCTTCCATCAGCAACAACACTAACATCACACCTGATACATGGCCGCAGGCCAACACACATCAACCACGTAGCATTCAGCTCATCGCTCTTGAGCAGAGACCAGCCCCCTGAAGTTTGAAAAGGTTGTACTATCATTGGGAAACCTGGGAACCCAAAACATGGAGCATCAGCTCAAAAGGACGCCTGCTGGACAGCGGCGCCCTCATCAGTCCTCTCCAGGTCGAGGGCGCCTCCTCCTCCATGCGCAATGAGTGCCTCCTCGACATCTGTTGCATCTCCATCATCAAGCTTGAACAATCCGCGCATAGCAGCAATCACATCAGGTGGCAACTGCTCCTTGAAGCGGTCCGCGAAGGCGTCGAGTGCAGCTGCAGTGACATCTTCACCATCTTTCACAATACCCAAGCTGCGGCACAGGAGCAGCTCTGCCGCCTTGGCAGCCGGCGCCGCCTTGGCAGCCGGCGCTGCCTTGGCAGCCGGCGCCGCCTTGGCAGCCGGCGCTGCCTTGGCACACCCTGAAGCGCGTGTCTTGTGGATCGAGAATAAGCCACCAGACTTGGAAATGGTGACCCCAGCCAGGGTTTTCCGACGAGCAGCCGGTGCCTTAGGTGGAGTTGAAGTAGGTGATGGCAAGATTGCATCCTGGCGATCCTCGAAGAGCGGTGCGAGGCATTGTAAGCCCACGGCACCTGCAGTAGCAGGCCCACACAGCCGTCGCGGCGATGGCGTGCGTAGTAGAGGCCCGCTGGAGACCAAAGGTGGCGTTGGTGAGGCTTCAAAACCCGGCGGCTTGGCCGGCGAGGTCAGAGGCGCCTGGAGCCTGAGTGGTGAGCAGAGGTGGAGCAGCTCCTGGCTTGGGGCAGCCAGCGAGGTCGGAGAAGGCCGGGCCTCGCCTCTGTTGGAACGTGGCGATGGAGGTAGCACAGTTGTGGGAGACAGAGGAGGCGAAACTGGCGGCGTGAGGCTTTCCTGAGAGCGCCCGCGAGCAGAACGAAGCGAGGGGTGGCACGCCGGGCTGCGGCCACGCCTAGAAGCCAACGGCGGGGCCTGCACCGGCAGCGACTCAAGGACACGGGCCTCCTCCCCGCTTGCAGAGCCGGAGCCGAGAAGAACCGCTGTCGCCGTGGCCAGCCCAGCCGGCTCGGCCCATATGAAGCTTCTGTGAAGAGAAACTTGCTGGGTAATCCATTTGCCCTTACATCTGCGTGGAATGGTTTGTGATGTGGTTGTACCCCCAGCAGTCCTCCAGGAATAAGAAGTCCAGTGAGTTCTCAGTGAACATAATCTCTCCATATACATGTTACCAAATTTTGTGTAGATTTGCATCCAAAATCAAAGAAATGAACAGAAATAAGGCTATAGTTGGTTGTGTAATGATTGTTTCGTCTTGCTTGCAGAATCCTGTCATCCAGTGGTTTGGTTAGTGAAATTGGTGCTTCTTCTAGTCATCGAACTTTGCTCCAGCATGTAAATTTTGTCGATTTTTGGACATGTATGGCCATCGGCCCTGCTAAACCAAAAGTTTTTTTTTCTTTGCACGATTGCTAAACCAAAAGTTGACATACAACACCGAGCAAGCAAAACGTATTAACGCCAGCTAAACCGACACCCACCCCGCTGAGCTTGCAAACTACTACTCCCTCCGTCTGAAAATACTTGTCATCAAAATGGATAAAAAGGAATGCATCTAGAATTAAAATATGTCAAGATACATCCATTTTATTTATTTATTTATTTTGATGACAAGTATTTTGAGACTGAGGGAGTACTAGTGAACCTTGACGCTGGAAAACCCTCCACTCCGTACTCCAGAGCACGCTGATCAAGTTAAAAAGCCCTCGGCTTGGCCACGATGGTGGAATGCTTGAGGATGTGGAGGCTGAACTGCCCGCCCTTCTCGGTGGTGTCGAGCATGCCCTGGCAGGGCGGCGGCAGCAGCTCGAAGTTGTGCACTAGGCGGCCGACGGTGATGCAGAGGAACGGCAGCGCGAGGACGATGCCCGGGCAGCTCCTGCGGCCGGCGCCGAAGGGGAGGTACCTGAAGTCGTTGCCGCCGGCCTCGACGTGCCTCTCCTCCTCCAAGAACCTCTCGGGGCGGAACTCGCCGGGCCGGTCCCACAGGCCGGGGTCGTTGGCGAGGTGCCAGGCGTTGACGAGGACCTTGCTCTCGGCGGGGACGCCGTGGCCGCCGAGCTCGGCGTCGCGGAGGTTCATGTGCGGCACCAGCAGCGGGATGGCCATGCGCAGCCGGAGCGCCTCCTTGACCACGGCCTGCAGGTAGGGGAGCCTGTGCGTGTCCCGCTCGGTGACCTGGTGGCCGGCTCCCAGCACCGTGTCCATCTCGCGCCGCAGCTTCTGCTGGGTCTCCGGGTGGTTCACCAGCTCGGCCACCGCCCACTCCATTGCCCACAGCGTCGTCTCGATCGCTGCGTGCAAGCAAGCATGCGTGCAACCGCAACGGGAGTAAGCACCGGAATTTATATTATTACTTATTAGTGCAAACACAGACTTTGCCGACCATGAGGAGAGCTGAAGAAGGATTAAGTGAGCATATGTATGTACCGGCAACGTTGATGTTCTCGACGATGAAGAGCACGTGATCCTCGTTGATCTCGCCTTTGCGCTGCGCCTCCGGGATCTCATCCATGCCGCACTTGAGCTCATGGCTGTCCGTGGCCTTGCCGCTCGCCAGCATCTTCCTACGAACACCATCATGTGTGAGCACATAAGCTACGCAATAACCTAGTAGTACTCCTTTCAGTCCTTTTTACTCTACATATAAGATTTGTCTGAAATCAAACTTAATAAAGTTTAACCATATTTATATTAAAACATATCAACATCTACAATACTAAAAGTTATATAATATGGAAATTAAATTCATAATGCATCTAATGCTATTGATTTTTTATTGTGAATGTTGATATATTTTTCTATAAAGTTGCTCAAACTTTACGAAGCTTGACTTCGGACAAAATCTTATATGCAAAGTGAAAAAGACCGGAGGGAGTAGGACGTAGAGTTTTTGTATGACTTTTAAGTAGAACTAGGATTTTCGATACATATATTGAATTGAGTGTGGCTAGGGCTCAGTCAACCGAGACTTTTTTTTGCATGATAATACGTGTCTTAATTATAGAATAAAGATCAAGTTTCAGTTGGCTGACATCATCTTACAATACATGCGTTTCCTAAAAAATAATTTTACAATACGTACATATTTCTCTAGCCAAATAATTTCCTGTTTGGGCTTTAGTTGGGCTAGTTTACTGGTCCCTTCTTGTGCAGAAACATCACATGTTGGGCTACATGAAATACTCTGGGCCTTTCTCTTTGCAAATGCTCAACATGTTGCCTGTCTCTAAATATTTTCTGATTAAGTTTGAATATATTTTGTGTTTTTTCTGGTTTTTTCTCAATTTTCTTATTCTTTCGTTGTTTTTCTGTTTCTTTTTCTTTTCTGCCTCCATTTTTCTGTTTTTTTATTCTCATTTTTGGTTCTTTCTTTCAAGAAATATAGGTTTAATGATATACCAACATTTATTAAAAAATACATGATTTTGTTTTAATAGGCGCGAAATTTATTTTTATTTTTTTTGAAAATTTCATGAACACTTCTCAAAATTTCATGGCTGTTTAAGTCCTTTATTAAAAAAATCAAATTTCTTTTCTTGTTCCTTAAGAAAAGAAATGCAAAACTAGTGTTTGCATTTGTGATGATTATTTCATAAAAATTGTTTACACAATTAAAAATCATTTTGTATTAAGAAGTATATTCATTATACATCGTATAGTTGAAAAAATCAATATTATTTATAAAAGATTAGTCCAATAATTTAAAATATTTAAATTGTACAGTGTATTAGAAGAAATATTCCATGTTAAACCCGAGTTGAAAATATGTAGTTGGGGTCCAGATCGACATTTGCAGTTGCGTGCTTAGTAACAAACATGCAACTGCCATCAACCCGGCAATAACATCACTTTCCATCCCAAATTGGGATCGTGTTTGAAGGCATGCAATTGCATTTTTTGCTGTAGAGATTTATCATGTGTCAGTATGCAGTGACAGTCCAGTAGTCCAAAGTTCTTGTCCTTGCCTCGAAACTAACACACTACAACGAATCACGTAGTATAAAAACTGCATAAGTTTGTCTCCGTGTGTGAGATTCCATCATTGTTTACTGCTACTAGGAGTAGCACACAGAACCTCCGTCACTAGCTTCCGTTAGTAGAAGTAGGTCCATTCATATTCAACATGCATGTTGATTAGAGATAAAATAGGTCCCTTCGCATTCAACATGTTGATTAGAGATTTATTAGAATAGTTTGTCTAATTCACATCTAAATTATTTTTAAGGATGTTACATCTAAGCTTCAACAAATATATAATGCAGTAGCAAAAAACAAAAAACTAGAAAAAAATAGACCATAAACAGAGTGAAAATTAGCTTAGATGTGACATACTCCCTCCGTTCAGAATTACTTGTCGTCAAAATGGATGTATCTAGATGTATTTTAGTTTTAGATAAATCCATTTTTGAGACAAATAATTCGGAACGGAGGGAGTAGTAGATGTGTACCAGACAGACCCTAGAAAAGCTTTATTGATTAGAGGTTTATGTTAGTGTGTGGAGTGGCGAACAAGATCTATAGCCGAATATCCAAGTGTCACCGTTATTAGAAGAAGAAAACCCACCTCCTTTCCTCGACGAAGCAATCCTTGTAGAGCTTGAGGCGGGCGTCCTTGACCTCCTTGCAGATCTTGAGGTAGCCGCGGAGGAACGGGCGCAGGACGGGAATGAAGTCGCCGTAGTTGTACTCGAAGCTCTGCGCGAGGCGGCTGCGCTCGCCGTTGAGCTCCCTGAGGCGGAGGAGCAGGGGGTCGTCCAGGCCCTCGAACCGCCGGCCGAACATGAGGCTGTACATGTTGTTGTACATCATGAGCTGCATGTGGCGGCGGAGCACGACGCCGTCGGTGGCGGCAGCGGGGTCGGCGCGGACGGCGTCCACGACGGCCGCAGCCTCGGCCTCCCATCCTGCGTGGTGCCGCTGCACCACCTTGCCCGTGAAGAAGGGCGCCGTCATGACGCGGCGCATCGTGCGCCAGTGGTCGCCGTACGCCGCGAACACCATGTCCTGGCCCCCGTCGGTGAAGACGTCGAACACCACGTTCCGGCGGCGGGAGCCGAACTCGGCTCCCTGCGCGTGGAGCACCTCGCGCGCCAGAGCCGGGGAGGAGACCACCACCACGTTGCGCTGGCCCATGCGGAGGAGGAAGATCTCTCCGAACCTGCGGGCCAGCGCCGCTAGGTTGCGGTGGTTGAGGTCGTCCCCGACCTAGAGCCAGTTGCCGAAGATGGGCACCGGCACAGGGCCGGGCGGCAGCCGGAGCTTGCGACCGCGCAGCTTGGACACGGCGACGGCGACCAGCACGGACGCGAAGAGGCCGACGAGGAGCTTCTCCAGGAAAAGGAGGTCCATGGTGGATGGAGTGATGATGGGTCGAGCTGGTGAGCTCCGGAACGCGGACTAAGGGAGCAGGTGCCCCGCTTGCTTCCAGAAATTTAAATCAGCAGCATGTCGTATGGTCGTAGCTAAGCTAGTGGTGGCACATGAATTGTTGGTGACCCTTGCGGGCGGGCGGGACGCGTGTCGACGGTTCGAAACTGACGCGTGTCTTTTCTTCGGAGAGCATGGATGTACTGAGGTACGTACAAGCAAGGATGCAAATACCCGTGGTAATTACGCGTGTCTTGTCTTTACACAACGTGGTAACTATGCATGGATGTTTAGGCGCAACAACGCGTTGGCCATGGTGATGAAGATGACGTGGCCATGTGTCTCAGAGTAAGTAGAGGAAGCAGTGTCGGTCGTCGAGGAGGTAATCGGTCTGAAGTGGGCACTCGCCCTCGAGACGCTACGCAAAAAATCTTATCGCCATGTGAAAACTTTGGGTTAAGAGTACATCCGAACGCCTTCAACCCTTCTCAAACGTTTGAATGGACCGTCCGGGTCGTTGACCGGTCACGATTTTTCGACCCAAACGGACGCCTCAAACGCCCGGACTGGCACCCCTCGTATTCAACCCAAATATGAAGTGGATATGGAGTGCCCGGGCACGCCCGTCACGTCGGACTGACGAAGAGGTCCCAGCCGAAAACGCCCTGAAACACGACGGTCCGAAGCTTGTCTTCTCCCACGCGGTGGCACCGTGTGACGCAGTTTCGGTGGGCCGCGTAGTGCCTAGCCCGGATATTTAAATCGACCGGCGGCATCGAAACCCTACCGTACATCCATATTTTCCTCCTCCTGTCCGCCCCCACCACTTTCCACTCTATCCGTCCACCCAGTAGTCATTCCCCACGCCGCCGGGTGAGGAGCGATCCATTTCTGATGCCAGAGCACCGGCTCGAGCTCCTTGAGCAGATCCGAGTTAGGCACTAAGCCCGGATCGTCGCGGGGCTACCTTCGGATGTAGTGGATCCGGAGAAGGAGTTGGAGGAGGAGGAGGAGGTGGTGGTGGTGGAGGAGGATGAGCCGGAGAAGGAGGATGTGGGGGACGCTGGCGATGCGGATCTGCAGGTGGAGCAGCAAGCCATCCTCGATTCCCTTAGGTCGAAGTCGGCTGCGGAGGCCAGACGCCGTTGCCGACAGGAGATGGAGGCGCAGTAGACCGCGGAGAAGGCGGGGATGCTCGCCTACATGGGCGAGGTCGAGTAAGAGGAGGATGAGCCGGAGCCCTCCTACCCGCTCGTCCAGCCGACGTCCGGCACCGTGGTGGTAGACATCTCCAACGATGAAGAATAGCTAGGGTAGTACGTAGTACGTAGTACATAGGACTTCTTTTGTATGCTTTATATAGATCTAGGGGGTGAAATATGAGAAAGGCGGATGCAAAGTGGCTAATTTAAGGCGTGACCGGTCACTGTCCACGAACGCACCCTGTCGCGTCCGCGGGCTTTTGAGAGGCCGAATTTTTAAAGTCCGACTGTAGATGCTCCAAACATGTGCCTTGTAGGAACGCGTTGCTTGTTAATATAGGGGCCGCGACCAGCTGTTACATGGAAGATTTACATGGCGACCGGTGCAGGATTGGTCGCCAAGGAAACAATCATAACAACATAGCTATAAGCACACACACGCCTTCATCTACAAGGTTTATTGACATTTCCCTCAATCACAACTATCTAAGTTGAGATTGTATCTAAAAGCTTTCAACTGCCGCAAAATAAGTGGTTTAGTAAAACCATCTGCAACTTGATCACTAGTGGGTATAAACCTGATGTCCAACGGCCACCCTTTCTCGAATAAAGTGTTAGTCTATCTCAATATGCTTCGTCCTGGCATGAAAAATAGAATTAGCAGACAGATGCGTAGCACCAAGGTTATCACACCAAAGTGAAGCAGCCTTTGGATGATGAACTCCCAGTTCAATCAACAAGTTCTGAACCCAAATAATTTCAGCAGTCACATTGGTTAGAGCCTTATATTCAGCTTTTGTGCTTGATCTAGATACTTTAGTTTACTAGCACTCCATAAGATCAAGTTACTTCCATACACTGCCTTATCAAGCTTGTAGACATGACATGGTGATTTTACACTTTCATACCCAGGAGGTTGTCACATAAACATTTACTCTTCCAAAACACCATGCAAAAAAGCATTCTTCACATCTAACTGTCGCATACACCGGTTTCTTGATATTGCAACTAAAAGAATTAAATGAATAGTGGTAACTTTTACTAAATGACTAAATGTGTCCTCATAGTCAATTTAATACCCCTGCTTGAAAGCCTTAGCAACTAGACGTGCCTTGTTCCTCTCAATAGTGCCATCAGACTTCCTTTTTACCTTGTAGACCCACTTACAGTCAATGATATTCCTCCCATTGACGGGTGGAACCAAACGCCATGTTTTGTTCTTCACTAGAGCTGCATATTCCTCATATTGCCTTCTTCCATCGAGGATTACCGATTGCTTCTCCTAAACTTTGCGGTTCACCTGTGGCACAAAAAGAGCCCCAACGAATACAACCATCTTTGTATATTTTAGGCTTAACAATACCACTCTATGACTCGGTGTGGGAGCGTTCAGGAGGAGGCGGAGCTGGACGTAAAACTTGATGTTGAAGGTGATTTGATGAAGAAGACACAACAGATCCAGAGGCCGCACAAGATCCGCTGGAAAACTCATGTTGAGATTCCTGCAGCGGCGGAAATAAGTCAACATGCACATACTCGCCCCCTTCCCGAAATTGCCACTTGGCGCAACAGGATTGGAGGCCAGCAAGCAGCAGCTGTTCGGGAAGCGGCGCACTCGCTCCAAACACGCCGGGATTAGAGGCCGGATTTTCTGTGGCTTCTCCTGCAGTTTCTGTGTCCAGCTTGAAATCGTGCCAATTTTCACCTGTTTCTTCTCCGTTTTCTTGCACACTTTCAGCTGAGTTTTGATCAAAGGCATTATGAGACATTGACTCATGGTCAGTAGGTTCTTCTACACCCCCGGGAACAAATTTTGGGGATGGTATAAGATGGGAGGGTAGGAGAACAAGCTCTTTGCCGAGTTGGGCACCGGCGTTGGGGTGGAGTTTTGCGATTGGGAAAACCTGTTTATCAAAAACCACATCACGAGAAACATATAGACGACCAGAAGCGACGTCCAAGCATTTGTAACCTCTGTGAAGGCTACTATACCCCAAGGATACACACGGTTTCAAACAAAACTCAGGCATGTGTTTATTGAAAGGGCGTAGATTGGGCCAAACAACACAACAAAAAATCTGAAGGAAGGTGTAGTTTGGTTTAGTGCCAAAAAGGCGTTCTAGTGGAGTTTGATTTTTTATGACCCTGCTAGAAACACGATTGATAAGATAGACGGCCTAAGGAATGCCTCGTCCCAAAATATCAAAGGAATATAAGCATGAGCAAGAAGTGAAAGGCCAACTTCAAAAATATGTCTTGTTTCCGTTCAGTGGATCCATTTTGTTGATGAGCATGAGCACAAGATACATGTTGAGTGATACCAATGCGCTCAAAAAAAGAATGGAGTTTTTGGTATTCAACACCCCAATTGGTTTGCATAGCAAGGATCTTGCGATCAAAGAGACGTTCACCATGTTGAAAGAGATGAAAATTTTCAAACACATCAGATTTATTCTTAAGCAAATATATCCAACTCAACTTGCTAAAATCATCAATAAAGCTCACATAATACTTTTGTCTTCCTACAGAAATGGGCCGAGGACCCCAAACACCCAAAAAAAGCTCTAAAGGAGTTTTTGATTCAGTAGTAAATCTAGAATAAGTTGATGTCTCTTGGCCATTTGACATGGGTCACACACCAAAAGGTGGTCTTTTATTCAATACGGGAAGGCTAAAATCTTGAAGAATTTTATGGACCACCGGTAAAGCAGGATGCCCTAAACGTTTATGCCACTGTGAAGTAGATGGATTGATAACACAAAGGGCTTGTCGAGAAGGAGCGTCATGGCAACCAGAAACAGGAAACAAGCGACCCCTACTATTGCTTTGAAGAATGGTTCTCCGAGTGGCCCGATCCTTAACAAAGAATATTTCAGGGTAAACTTCGAGAAAAGCATGATTATCACGGATAAGTTTGTAAGCAGAAAGAAGACTTTGATCAGATTGTGGAGCACATGAAGTATGTTGTTTAGATCTAAGGAACCATGAGGGGTAGAAAGAACCGAGTGACCAATATGAGCAATGTCCCTACCTTGACCACTCGTGGTGTGGATTTGTTCGGTGCTGGTGTAGCGATCACGAACAAACGAGCTTCTCCAACTCCCCTGTTAAATGGTCGGTCACGTCGGTGTCGAGATACCAATTTGTATCCACCCCGTAGGAGTGGACCGCATTGGCAGAAGGGTTGCCGCCGCCGCCACCACCACCACCTGCAGGGTTGCGGACATTGTTGTTCACCTAACCCTAAACCCTAAACCCTAAACCCTAACTGCTAGCTCGTTGGCCATTCCCTTCATCTTGGTGAAGTAGGTTTCCACCGGAAGATCTCCCTTGCGGGTGTGCTCAATCTGCGGGTGGAGCTGGATCACTCACGCCCGTGACTGTGAAGTGAAGCTATGCAGTAGCGCCTTTCAGATGGTTGCGGCGGTGGTACTGGTACTGACCTGTAGTAGGACTTCTCGAGACAAAGATGAAATCAGGAAAGTAAGATCTGCTGATCTTGAGTTACCCATACAATGTGCTCAGGATTGGGCGCAGAGGTGGTTTCCTTCTTTGGGGCACTCT